TGCCTCCTGCACTGGGGATCAGGCCCACTGGGGATTGGGGATCGGGCCCACAACCTGGGCATGTGCCCAGACCGGGAATCAAACCTGCATCCTCTTGGTGCATGGGCCCATGCTCAACCACTAAGCCACTCCAGTAGGGTGTAAAGAGTTTTTTTTTAATCATTCAAATCTATATAATTACCTCTTTTTATCAATTTTTCTCTTTTTAAAACTCATTGGTAGAATATAGGCATTTCCCTAGTTTTATAGCTTTAGATTGTTTTCACAGCAATGTTTTTAAAGGCTGCATAAATATTCCACTAAATGTTATTAATGTATCTTAATTGTATAACTAGTCTATATTTAACTAGGTGAACATTTAAGTGGTTTATAGTGCTTCAGTGACTGTTTCTGTTAATCTGTTTTTGCAAATTTTCCCAATTTCTTTTTTTTTTTTTTTTATCCTCACCCGAGGACATTTTTCCATTTTTTGTTCAGGTAGAGTGGGAGGGAGAGAGAGGAACAGAGAGAGAGAGAAAAACATCTATGTGAAAGGAACACATCGAGTGGCTGCCACCCGCACGACCGACCAGGGCTGGGGACAAACTGCAACCGAGGTACGTGCCCTTAGCGGGAACCGAACCCAGGTCTCTCTGGACCGCAGGCTGACGCTCTAACCGCTGAGCCAAACCGGCCAGGGTCCCAATTTCTTCTTTAGGAAAGTTCCTAGAAAAAAAATTGTTGGGCAACAGGGTACACGCACTTAAGCTTTTGACGTATAATGCCAAATTGCCCCCCAGAAAAGTTGCAATAATGTCTCCTCCTACCAACAGTACACAATAGTGCCTGCTTTGTGGATCTTGCCAATTTGAGGTTTTGTTAATCTTTTAACCTTTGCCAATCTGATAAATGAAAAAACATTTACCCTGATGCAATTTGCATCTCTTTGCGAACTGGTTAGGTTGAATATCTTTTCATGTGTTTATTAGCTATTTATATTCTTCCTGTGTAAATTGTTCGATCATGTCCTTTGCAGAATTATTTGCTAGAGCATTTGTCTTTTTCTTTAAATTTTAAGAGCTCTTTTTACATTAGGCATGTTAACTCTTTATCCATTACATACATAGAAAAGATCTTTTTCTAGTCTGTGGTTTGTCTTTCAACCTTGCTTATAGTACTATTCAGAAGATGTTAATTTTTATGTTGTAAAACATCATTATTTTTCCTTTTTGATTCTGGCTTTCAGATCCTGTTTAGATCTTGCTATTGTGTTTATAAAATATTCACCCACTTTTCTTTTAGAAACCTTATGACTCAATTTAATCTTTGATTATTTTGGTACATAAAGTGAGGCAGTGATCTAGTTTTCTTTCTTTCTTTCTTTTTCTGTGGTACGTGCTCCTAGCGGGAACGGAACCCGGGACTCTCTGGTCCGCAGGCCAACGCTCAACCGCTGAGCCAAACTGGCCAGGGCTAGTTTTATTTCTTAAAATGTTTGTCTAGTTTCAATATTTTTCTGGAATAACTCCTTTCCCCACTAATTTGAATCATTTCTACATATATTTGAGTCTCTTTCTGGACTCTATTTTGTTCCATTTTTCTGCACTATTACCATGCAATTTTATTTATGGTAGTTTTATTTATTTATTAAAATACTTTAAAAATATGTTTTTATTGATTTTTTAGAGAGAGAGAATGGGAGAGAGAGATAGAAACGTCTATGTGAGATAGAAACATTGACTGGCTGCCTGCCACATGCCCCCTACTGACGATTGATCCCACAACCCCGCAGGTGCCCTGATCTGCTTGTGCCCTGGGACCCCCTCAGTCCACGGGACGATGCCCAATCCACTGAGCCACACTGCTGGCCTACTTATGGTAGTTTTAATATTTGGTAGAACAAGACCCTCTCCCTTACTCCATTATTACTTTAGTTTTTAGAACTTTCCTGATTATAATTGCATATTTATTCTGAAAGTGTTTTTCTTCTTTTAACAAGGTGTAATGCTATCTTATTAACTAATTTGCATTCTTAGTTGCTTACTCTCTTTTAATCCATTCTATTAATGAGAGTCTTAGTGAGCTCTCATTAGAGTCCAAGCTGTTCACCTGCCTTATGTACTATATATTTCACCACTTCTGCATCAGTTTGTTAAAGGGTAGGAAATTTGTCGTTTATGCTAAGGTGAGAGAAAATATTCTCCAGCATGTTGAATGCCACTTAATGGTATTGTTCTAGTCATTCTTGCATATCCTCCTTGATGTGCACCTGCTTCTTTTATTGTCGCCTTTCATCATCCCTCCTCTTTTACTTTTTTTCTGTCTTTTTAATTCTCAGTTACTTGTAACATCTAGGGAGGCTATCTAGATTAAAAAAAACACACACAAAAAAACCCCAAAAACATTGGAGATACCCATGCAACATTAGGGTTCTTGCTGCATATTTCTCCATATTTGCCTTTACTCACTGGCCTTTTCAATGTAGTGGTGTCCGCTCAGTAACCCTGACCTGGGAGTCATATTTACAATCGGTATTAACCAGTAGAGTCCCTTGATTCTTGTCTGCCTTATATAATATTAGATAATATAACCTCCATTGTACTACATACATTGTTGATCACTAAGAGCTCTAAGATCCTTGTGAAAGGACCACTCTAGGCTTGAGAGCTGAGGTCTGATTATTGCCCCGTTCTTTCATCTGTTCATCCATGAACAAAGAAGTTATGGTAGAGCCAGGGGCCTGGGTGGATGATGGAATTTGGGGTTGCTGAGTTTGCCAACTAGGAAATGATAATGAGAACTAACATTTTTAAAGTATCTACTGTATGTCAGCCACTTTTCTAGATGCTTTATGTGCATTATTCCGGATGCCTAGAACTACTTAAAATTTTTTTTTTCTTTATTGATTTTAGAGAGAGAGGAAGAGATAGATAGAAATATGGATCAGAGAGAACATTGATTGGCTGCCTCCTGCATGTCCCCCACTGGGGATGGGGCCCACAACCTGGGCATGTGCCCTGACCGGGAATCCAAACGACAACCTCTTGGTGCATGCGTCGACGTTCAACCACAGAGCCACACTGGCCAGGCACCTAGAGCTACTTTTATTCACATTTTTCAGATGAGGAAATTGAGGTGCTGAGACTCTAAGTAGCTAGCATCATATCACACACATAGTAGTACATGGTGCATGAGGAATCAGTCAACTATGGGATATACGCTTGCCCCTTTCCACCAGACTTCTTCCCCTAATTTAGCAATCTAACATTGTGAAATGAATACCAAATTGCAGGAGGCAAAAGAAGAGGAGTTAATAGCAATGCTTTCTCTGTTTTCCCTTTTTTCTTCATTGTACTATGTGATCTAGGTGCAGAAATTTTTGAAGAGGGAAAAGCGGTTCTGTTTAGAAACTCCATCTTTTCCATGACAGTGACTGACTCTGAGACTCTCAGGGTCAGGAGGGAACTCTGTTAGTTTCCAGAATTGAAGTTACAATCTCTCCTCATCCTATTAGCCAGCTTCACATATGTCTTCACTGAGGTGCACAAGGCTTAACAGAGGGGTATGTGAGGGAGGAAGTGGGAGGCTTGTTAATGTTTTCATTTTGGGTTGTTGTCCAAACCTGGAGGCATTGTGCCTTAACACTGCTGTCTCCGAATGGAGATTTCAGTGAAAGCCAATTCCTTGGCTGCAAGCATCACCCACAGATTTAGCTGCAATCAAACAGGTTTGCTTAGATATTCCACTCCCATCCCTAAAACCATTTGTTTGGAGATGGGTGAGACTCCTGCCCTTACTGTGAGCCTGTCAGAGAATCATTCGTTTCCTTGAGATTTGACAAGGGCAGGGCAGCAGAAACAGTCTTGGAATTGCAGGGTTGTTGTTTTTTTCTGTCTCCTTGACTTCTGATATTTCTGAACTTGGCCACTCCTGCATAACCAACAGGCAACATTGTTTACTTCAACTCCCTCACTCCCTCCCTCCATCTTTCCTTCCCTTCCCTTCTCTTTCTTTTGGAGGTCTGCTCTTCTCTTTCCTATTACTCTGGCCACCTGCAATCTTTCCTCAATAATTGCAGTAAGCGCCATAACTCCTCACTCTCAGCGATTCTCTCCCTGGCCCCCTGCACAGCATCTCCAGGACTCAACTAGAGGGCGCCTGGCCCTTGATTGACATCACTGCGGGGGGTGGGACTTCGCAAGCGCCGACCTACGTGAGCTGGAGACATCTTGTGGAACGGCCATTTTGGTGAACGTCGTGAACAGAGTTGGAGGCGAGGAGTCGGTGGCGGTGGCTGCGCGGGCCGCGGTGAGTGATTTGGTCGGTGGGAAGTGTACAGGAGGGTCACGGTAGCCGGGTACTTTATAACTAGCAAGAAAATGTGGCCATTACGTCAACACTTTTTACAGTCGCCCTGAGGCAATTCTTTTCAACTACGGAGCTGCTGTAGTTGACTCTGAGGAGAAGGAAGAATGTGAAGGCAGAGTTTTTTGACTTGGAGAAAAATGGGGAGCGGTTCTTGGCCACTGAAAGCAGGAGGTAATAGTTATGGTAGTTTGGACGTGAAGGACCTAAATTCCGTTGGACCTCGACGGTTGGTGACCTTTGGGGGGAGGGGGCAGGGAACTGAGGGCGCTGGCTGCGGCTGCGAAGGGGGGAGGGGTAGGGCGGTGCGTGATTGGATGGTTTCCATATGGGGGGGAATTTTGAACCAATTAGAAGGAGACAAGGAGGACCAACCAGACCAATCAGTGAACCCCGAGCCCTGCCGTCTGGCTTTATAAGGCCAGATTACCTCAAGAGAGAACGGCGGCCATTTTCTCCACGTTGGGCTCAGGTAGCTAGACAGCCGTGCTCCTCCTCAACTACTTTTTCTGAGGAAATTTCCTCAACATTTTTCCCTTTGAATATCAATTAACTGGAAAAAATTGACTAATGGAAATTTACTGAGAAATAGGAATATAAAGGAGACAACATTGAAATATTTTCTTATTTCATAGGCCCGAGCCACAGAATTAAAAATGGACGACGATGATTTTCGCTTCATGGATTTTAAAGGTATGTAGTTTTACAGGGTAGTAAAGACAATGTCAAACTGTTTGCTTCCTCATCTAAAATCTGCATTTATTTTGTTTCCAAATTTGTTCTCTTTGGAATATCTACAGCTCCAACTTTTCTCCGAATGTACCAGAAGAACAATGTAGACGTTCAAGACATTGGAACTTTTTTGTAACCTAGTATAAGAAAATATAATGAACAATTCGTGGATTTTTTCCTCAGGGTTTTCATGGCATGCAAAATAACATTGGTTTAATTTGAAATAGAAATCTACCGTGTTAAAAGTACATTAAAAAATAGGGCCTTGGCTGGTTTGGCGCCCGTGGTTCAGAGTGTCCTGGTTCGGTTCCCACTAAGGGCGCGTATCTTGGTTGCAGTTTGTCCCCGGCCCAGTAGGGGTCGTGCGGGTGGGGGCCACGCGGTGTCTGTCTGTCATTGATCTTTCTTTTCTTCTCTCTCTCCGTCCTGCTCTTTGTCTTCTTCCCTCTCTCCCTCTGCTCTATCTGAAAGTAAAATGCAAAAAAAAAAAAATTACAGTTAGAGCGTCAGCCCGTGGATCAGAGAATCCCGAGTTCGGGTACCACTAAGGGCGCGTATCTTGGTTGCAGTTTGTCCCCGACCCAGTAGGGGTCGTGCGGGTGGCGGCCACGTGGTGTCTGTCTGTCACTGATCTTTCTCTTTTCTTCTCTCTCTCCGTCCTGCTCTCTCTCTTTTTCCCTCTCTCCCTCCTGCTCTCTGTCTTCTTCCCTCTCTCCCTCCTGCTCTCTGTCTTCTTCCCTCTCTCCCTTCTGCTCTATCTGAAGGTAAAATGCAAAAAAAAAAAAAAAAAAATTACGGTTAGAGTGTCGTCAGGCAGACCAGAGAGTCCCGGGTTCGGTTCCCACTAAGGGCAGGTATCTTGGTTGCAGTTTGTCCCCAGCCCAGTAGGGGTCGTGCGGGTGGGGGCCACGCGGTGTCTATCACTGATCTTTCTCTTTTCTTCTCTCTCTCCGTCCTGCTCTCTGTCTTCTTCCCTCTCTCCCTTCTGCTCTATCTGAAAGTAAAATGCAAAAAAAAAAAAAAAAAAATTGCAGTTAGAGCGTCAGCCCGTGGACCAGAGAGTTCCGGGTTCACTTCCCACTAAGGGCAGGTATCTTGGTTGCAGTTTGTCCCCGGCCCAGTAGGGGTCGTGCAGGTGGGGGCCACGCGGTGTCTATCACTGATCTTTCTCTTTTCTTCTCTCTCTCCGTCCTGCTCTCTCTCTCTCCCTCCTGCTCTCTGTCATCTTCCCTCTCTCCCTTCTGCTCTATCTGAAGGTAAAATGCAAAAAAAAAAAAAAAAATTACGGTTAGACAGAGCGCCGGCCTGCGGACCAGAGAGTCCGGGTTGGGTTACCACTATGGGCACGTATCTTGGTTGCAGTTTCTCCTCGGCCCAGTAGGGGTCGTGTGGGTGGCAGCCAATCGATGTGTCTCCTTACTTCAATGTCTCTCTCTCTTCCTACAGCTCTCCCTTCTGCTCTATATGAAGATAAATGCAAAAATGTCCTCCCGTGAGGATTAAAAAAAAAAAAATTACACCAAAATTTTGAAGTGCCTTTCCATAATCATCAGTGAAAAATAAATTATATCATGTATAGTTTAGCTTTAAATGCAATTTATTGTGTCATTACTCTTTTGAAAGTAGGTAATCCATGTAGGGTATTTATGGGAATTATTTTTTAATAATCTTTATTGCAGCTATCTCCCCTTTTTTCCCTTACTGCCTCCCTCCACCCAGTTCCTGCCCTGCCGCAGGCCTTCACCACCCTATTGTCTGTGTGCGTGGACAATGCATATATGTATATAAATCCTTTGGTTAATCTCTTCCCACCTCCCTTCCCCCTTCCCTCTGAGAGTCCTCATTCTGATCCATGTTTCCATTTGTTCATCAGTTTATTTTATTCATTAGATTCCAAATATGAGTGAGATCATGTGGTATTTCTTTCTCTAATTGGCTTATTTTGCTTAGTGTAATATTCGCCAGGTCCCTCCATGTTGTCTCAAAGGGTAAGAGATCTCATTTCTTAACAGCTGTATAGTATTCCATTATGTAGATGTACAGGTTTTTTATGTACTCATCTACTGATGGGCACTTGGGCTGTTTCCAGATCTTAGCTATCGTAAATAGCGCTGCTATGAATATAGGGGTGCATATATTCTCATATATTCTTTCTGATTGGTGTTTTGGGTTCTTAGGATATATTCGTAAAAGTAGGATCACTGGGTCAAATTGCAGTTCCATTTTTAAGTTTTTGAGGAAACTCCACACTGTTTTCCACAGTGGCTATACCAGGCTTCATTCTCACCAGCAGTGCACTAGGGTTCCCTTTTCTCCACATCCTCACCAGCACATACTGTTTGTTGATTTATTTATTTTTTATCCTCATCTGAGGACATTTTTGCACTATCTTCAGATAGAGCAGGAGGGAGAGAGGCAGGAAGAGAGAGAGAAACATTGATGTGAGAGACACATTGACTGGTTGCCACCCACAGGGCCCCAACCAGGGCTGGGGACAAACTGCCACCGAGGTATGTGCCCTTAGTGGGAACTGAACCTGGGGCTCTCTGGTCCGCAGGCCAACTCTCTAACCACTGAGCCAAACCGGCCAGGGCTGTTTGTTGATTTATTGATGGTAGCTATTCTGGCAGGTGTGAGGTCACACCTCATTGTCAATGGGAATTCTTTTTTCTTTTTATGCTCACCCGAGGACATTTTCCCATTTTTTGTTCAGACAGTGGTGAGGGGGAGGAAGAGAGAGAGAGAGAAACATCGACGTGAAAGGGACACATCGAGTAGCTGCCACCCGTGCGACCAACCAGGGCCGGGGACAAACTGCAACCGAGGCACGTGCCCTTAGTGGGAACCGAGCCCGGGTCTCTCTGGAACGCAGGCCGACGCTGTAACTGCTGAGCCAAACCGGCCAAGACCCCATATAGATATTTTAGCTCTAGTTCATTTATTTCCACTGCTGATTAGTACCATGAGATTGAATATAAGTGTACTACAATTTATTTATTCAGTCTCTCTTATTATATATATGAGTGTTTCAAATAGTTGCTCTTTAGAAAGTTTAGTGGGAGCTTTCAAACATTTTTATTCTTTATTTATATTTTTCTTTTTCTTTATTGATTTTCAGAGAGGGAGGAAGAGGGAGAGAGATATCGGTGAGAGAGAACATCGACTGGCTGCCTCCTGCATGCCCCCCACTGGGCACCAGGCCCACAACCCGGGCATGTACCCTGACTGAAATTGAATCAGCAACCTCTTGGTTCATGGGTCAGTGCTCAAGCACTGAGCCACACTGGCTGGACACTTTCAAACATTTTTGACCACCACCCATGGCAAGGAAATGCACTGTATTTATCCTTATTACATGCAGCAGTGCACTACAATGTTTTCTATTCAATGCTTTTTTATTTTAAAAATGGTGGTTATAACCCACTAAATTGATTTTATTTCTTAAGCCCTGGTGGGTGAGGCTCTAGGGCAGTGCTGTCCAGTTGAAACATAGTGGAAACAAATTTATATTTTCTAGTAGCCACATTGAAAAAGGCTAATCAGCCCTGGCCAGTTTGGCTCAGCAGTTAGAGCATTGGCCTGCGGTCCAGAGAGACCTGGCTTTGGTTCCCACTAAGGGCACGTACCTTAGTTGCAGTCCCTGGCCCTGGTTGGGTTGTGTGGGAGGCGGTCACTCGATGTGTCCCTTTCGCGTTAATGTTTCTTTCTCTCTCTTCCTCTCTTTCCCTCCCACTCTATCTGAACAAAAAATGGAAGAATGTCCTTGGGTGAGGATTAAAAAAAAAAAAAAAAAGGCTAATCAGCCCAGCTGGTGTGGCCTAGCAGTTGAGCATCAACCCACGCACCAAGAGGTCACCGATTTGATTCTCAGTCAGGGCACATGCCTGGGTTGTGGGCTCGATCCCCAGTGGGGGTGTGCAGGAGGCAGCCAATCGATGTTCTCTCTCAATGATGTTTCTGTCTCCCCCCCTCCCTTCTCTCTAAAATCAATAAGAAAAAAAAAGGTTAATCAGATGACATAAATTTTAACAATATAAATTATTTAGCTCAGTATATCCAAAATATAATTTCAACAGGTAATCAGTATAAAAGTTATTAATGAGATAGTTCACATTTTTTTGAAGAGTTTGAAGTCTGGTATGTATTTTATACTGAAATCATATCTCATTTGGGACTTGCCACATTTCTGGTGCTCAGCAGTCACATGTATGTGGCTAGTGGCTACCCTATCGTGGCAGTGCTGTTGTGGGGTACACATTTACGTAGAGCTGCTGAATGTGCAACTGCCAGCTCAAAAGCTATCAGTGTCTTGAACTTGACAAATACTACCCAATTGCTGCCCAGAGTAGTTTTAACAATTTATACTCTCTCTTTCTCTTTTTACTATACACTTGTTAATATTTGGTATTGTCATACTTAAAAATTTTTGCAGATATGAAAGCATTGTTGTAATATTTTTCTCTTTATTGTTTTTTTTTTCTTTAGAGAGAGAGGAAGGGAGAGGGGGAGAGAGATAGAAACATCGTTGAGAGAGAACATACCTCGTTTTGAATTGGCTGCCTCCTGCATGCCCCCCACTGGGGATCAGGCCCACAACCAGGGCATGTGTCCTGACCAGGAATCAAACCGGTGACCTCTTGGTGCATGGGTCAGTGCTCAACCACTGAGCCACACCAGCTGGACCATCATTCTCTTTAGATAACAGTGGAGCTAAGATTGAAATTTATAGAGGGGAGGTTGAGGCAGTTGGCCACACTAAGTTTTACCATTTTGCTTCTAAAAGACCTTCTTTTTTTTTAAAAAAACCAACTACATGCTGCTTTTCAGTTACATCTTGCCTGTTGTATATTGGTGCTATTAGTTTTGAAGACTTAAATGCAGGACTATAATTTTTTCTTATATTAATCCCATTGCTGCAACTAGAGATTTAATTTTTCTCCTGATTATATCATCTATCTTAT